GAAAGAATGTATAATAAAATTTAATTTAAAACAAACCTCAAACAGACTCTCAAAAGAATACATTTGTATTCTTACTAATATTATAAACGCGAAAGTTTGTGAGTATGGTTGGATGTTTGCTACACGTTCATGCAAAATTTCTGAACTCATATTGATGAAAATTTACAGTAATCTAGCTTATACACCAGAATAATACATAGGTTATAATTTAAAAACATATTATGTAAATTGGGCGAAACATAACGATAAATGTCACGCAAGTATGATACAGGCGAAGTTCCGCGGATCAGCTAGTTTAAAATAAAATCTTATTTTGAAAATCATCCTTCTATAACGTTACACAATATTTAGACTAAAATGTAATCATATTGTAATTATGACTTTGAAACATATTATGTTATTGGTTATATTGGGTTTTGTGTATGTTTTTAATTAATGTAATTTTGTTTATTGATGAAAATGTAATTAGATTGAATTTGTATAAATATTAATTACTGTATATTATGACTTGCTATATATATAAAGAAGTTTTTTACATTGATTATTAAACGAAATATGAGTATGAATAAAACCGATAATTATTATTTTGATTAAATTTATTTAGCACTGTAAATTAAATTGAATATTAGTTTACTGTGTCACTATTTCGGCCATAACGACTTTCACCTTTTAGATGGATATATGTATGACGGACTTACATTATTTTTGTGTACCCTATTATACATTCTTTTTGTGTAACTATAACTCTAAGATTAAAGAATTTTTCTCAACTTACTTGCACTTGATGGTGTGTATATTTCGTCGATATTACACAATCCTTGCAAATTATATTTTACATATAATTTTACTGTATAAACTATATTACTGTTACATTAAAATACTTCAAATATTTTTTGCGTGGAAGAACAACAAACATACTTCTATCCATTAAAGCAAACCTTGTTTGGATGGATAGAAGAATAACTTTGAAGCGTTTATACTCTTATTATTAGGAGGATTCGGAATTACCAGCATTATAAAAATATAAAACTTCTTTATATACCTACCTTACTTAGATGTTGTGGTGTGGATAGAATATATGCAATTTGAACTTTAAACTTTTAACATCACATTTTAATTTACTGCGCAATATGTATTATCAATATTTGGGGTATATAAAAAGATAATTAGTCTAAAAATATCTCAAAATTACGGGTACGATTTGTGCAACTGGCTACTACTCGATCTTAATATCTGAACTAGCACTGCATCATAGAGTTAGTCCCAGTAGCTATGATCGATTTTGCGACAATCCACAGGTGCACCGGAACCTTCACATACGCATATCCCGTGACGGTTATTGATTTCTGGAGATTATATTTTCAGATGAATACTTAATATTATGTAAGACTGAAAATTTAAATTCTAGCTCATTATTTATATATGTATACTTTGAATGTAAATCATTCTAAATACTTTCCGTTTTTGATACTCTTATTTTTTTCGATTGGAATGACAGCCTGTCAAAAGTTAGTGGTCACAACAGTCACTGTTCACAAATATCGTATATATGGTGTAAATCGTGTAACCGCCGTAATTCCACACATATATACTACTCTCGAGAACTAAGATGTCATGCCTCTAAACACCAGTATCATACACTAGTTTATCGAAATATTATACAATTTTAAAATGAGCATTATATAATATATAAGTTACATTATGCAATTTTTGAAGTTGCATATTTGATCATTTAATATATGAAAAATACTTACTATCTAGTGATAGTTGATACCACAGCCTCACCTATTTTAGCAGCTTCCTTTGTAAGCTGTTGTTGGTTTGAGTTGAAAGGTGAGATATGGCATTGAAATTATAGGATATGGAAGCATGATATTTTAATTCTCCGGAATTGCAACGCATGTGGTTCTATTCATATACCTACACATATGTGTATATATCGCCACTAACGGTCATATGGGTGGACAATTTATTTGCTATTACAATAACAATGAAATTACAATATTTTTACATCACTAATATTTATAAAATGAAAACCTAATTAAATTTATTTAACAGCTACTCTTTGCAATAAAAAAATATGAATAATCAATATTTTAATAATTAATAATAATAATAGTAGTGCATATATACTTACAAAAGTCTCGTGCTAACTGACTACGCACCCGTCTCGCCTTAAGTGGCTGAAGAACTAAATTTGAATTTTATTTATCGGGTTCTGCACTGTTGAAGCAACGGAAAATAACTAGATATAATATCAACGCGACGAAGCTTTTATAGCGCCGTGAAATAAGTGACCTATGAATTTATAGAATATTTTTCATATCAGATGCATCATATTGAAATCAAGAATATTTTATTGGAGTACCATTGAATACAGAAGCAATTTCACATCAATTAGGTAACTATAACAACGAGACGTATAATAGCATTAGGATCTAATGATAGAATTATACTTGAGCTTTGTAAGTACTTATGTACATATGTATGTTTTCTAAAGAATCTTGAAGTGAGATATAAATTTAATTGCACAGCAAAAACACATGATTATTGTAGATTACATTACAGTACATTAAATAGGACCATTGGACATATATGTAGGTATCTGTATAAATAAAGGGAAGGAAGGGCTTGGTAGCTATGAGGACCCAGTGCCAAATGTACCCATGAGATGTTGACTTCCACGCGGGCCTCACCCGAAACCATCGTGATTAATTTTTAATGAAATCCTCACAATTGGCTAACTAACCTGACATCATCATGATTGTCATCATCCTATCATTTTCCATTGGTGCCGTCGTATACCGTCAGTGCAGACGGTTGTACCATCAACATGGATTACATAAATTCAATATTTTGTTCAGTAATAAACTCTCATCATAATATCATTTGAATTTAAAATCTAATTAAGATAATCAATTTTACAGTAATTGGCTTTTATGACTTGGATAGACCAAGTCATAAAAGCCGATTACTGTAAGATCCCACTCTAAAAAATATACAACTGTACTTTTTTCTCAGCTATAATTATTACTCTTGGTCATATACTCTTTTATATTATTATTTCTTATGTGCATGTACCTATATACATATATATAATAACAATAATATGACACCGTCTACCTGTATAGTGTGATGAACTTTGTCCTAATGGTTACTTATGAATCGCTTACTTGTAATGAAACGTCTATAGTAAACATACAATCACCATCCCGAACGTAATTTTTCAGTAGTTGAGTTATAGATTTGAACTATTTTTTTAATTTAAACTATAATTAATTACTCATTAATATTTTAAGTAGGTTTTGAAAAATAATATAACACACATATGAAGTATCTATCTAGAAATTTATCCCAATTGTGCGTGCAGATTTATTTAATCACTTCTACTAGTAAGTTAAGAAAATACGCAAGTAACTGGACCTCTTGCGAACTACTCGTAAAATCAATTTATCGGTTCAGTGACACAAAATCTCCTAATTAGTTGTATTTTTCATTTTTATGTTTACACTGCACCATCTAGACCCAAACTGAGCAAATTTGTATTATGGGTACTAAACAATTGATAAAAATATTGACAGGTACATAAAATTATTTCTCAACTATAGGAATTTTAATTCTTAAAGTACTGTAAATTAATATCCATAACTGCTATGTTTATTAAAATTGTTTTTATAGTAGATACCTTTCAAATCTTACAATAAAAAAACTATTACAAAGAATATAAATCCCTCGTATCCCAAACCAGACAAAAAAATATCATCTACCAACCCATCGTCACCAGTTATTTGAACTTTTTAGTTTAACACTGGTATAGTCATACCGGTTTTAAATATGGTTTCAATGTAATGGAGGAGGGAATTAGTAATGACGATTAGTGAACCTATTGCTAGCAGTGAACCGTGTTAAATTAATCTCCACCCGGTCCCCTAGAAACCATCGATAATGCGCCACGAGGTTAGGTACCTTCTGAACTGTCAATAAATTTTATAATATAATTTTATAAACATGACAGACACCTTTATTTTTTTTTTATTTTTAACCCAATGTAGCAGATTTACGCATATATTGTAGGTTCATAGTTTAACAACATAAATTTAATTATCGAAATCTAAATGGTCAGACCATTTTGCTACAAACATTCCTAATTATCATATAATTTATCAATTGTCCATATAATATTCGGTACCAGTAATACATTCGAACCTAAAGAAGTACTTTTCTAGATTCGTTTGCGACGCATGAAATGATTCCTTGTAAGAGATTTTTGACCTGAAACGTAGCATTCTTTGCTCAAGAGTAAGCGAGTCAGATACACTTGAAAGAGTATAGAAAGAGTAGTGGGCGATTTGCGGTCACGAAACTGGTTGCACAGGTTCTTAGTGAATAAACATAAGCGACTTTATTATTAAAGTTATTGAGTCAACACTCGTCTGTAGCAACTGGTATTGTAATATGTAAATATATGTCTATGACTCATCATCTGAATCCAAGGATTTCCATCAGATGGAAACTCATGGCTTTCTTAGAATTAAATTTTGTGATGATTGTAGATGATTTACTACTTAGTACCACTATAAACTTCTTATCACGAAGGATGTTGCTTGCATAAGATTATAGTACATTTACTATAATAAAATTATGCATGTTTAAATTACATGCAATAAAAAAATTAACTAACAGAGCAATTTTAATATGTTCCTTCACGCTTATGTGATTAGTATTTGTTCTCAGTTAACGAATTCAGAAGTAAATGTAGGTATCAGGTTTATTTGTTTTAAAATTTATTAATTAGTGTAATAGAATATTAATTAAGTTGCAAGTTAGTTGTGTCGGTACAGCAAACTAAGGAGTTCGAAGTAGTTCAATACTTGTATTTACAACTAGGCAACGTAACTAAAGCTTTGGATATGACTCCGATAGAAGATAGAATGGTATTATATTAGTAGTAGTAGTGTTGTTATATTTTGTAAAAACAGTATAATTACAAAAATACAAACCTTGACATTTCTCCGCACAAAGTCCAGCCTCGTAGTTGTGATGAGATTGATTGCATGCTGTGTTGCAGGACGCACATTGATTTGTATTAGCGGAGCAATACTGATCGAAATTGCACTTGTAATCACCGCATTTCACCCCGTCAAAAATTATCTGGGCCGAAGCCACTCCGACCACGGCCAGAAACTGTAGTACTACTTGCGACATTTTGGCCTGAAACAAGATTTTTTATTCCAATTAAATAACACATACTACTTTATCACTCTTACCTAGATCAATAGTGCATTCGAAATATATATTTTCGTAAATAATTACATTCTATTCCCGTAAATATTAATCTCTCATATTAAATTGAAAACTTATAAATGTAGCAATATTGGATACTAATGATACCTACGTACTTATTTTAAATCATCAACAATTTCATAGTGTACACCTACAGAGATTCTATTAGATTCACTCAGTATAATTCCCTTTAATAGGATCAGCATTCCCACACTAAAATATTGCTTTAGTAGTGTTTCATGAAATAGTAATATGATTTGGTTTTGAACCGATTGCTCTGTGTGACGAAGTACTTTGTGCGTAATATTGGCACGCTTCAGGTTACATAAAAATGTTCCGTTGCTTATTTATAGCTCTTATGTAATAATATATGACTAATTTGAAAAGAAAAGCGAACTCTTTTAGTGTTAGATAGTAGGGTGTACGTAAATTCATTGTTATTCTGTTTGTGCTATTTTAATCTATAATGAAGAATGAAGAATGAAAAAATGAAGACCGATTGATAACGTTTATCTGGAAACTTCCAAGTTAAAAAGTTAAAAGTTATATAGTTATAACTATAACTATATAACTTTCGCAAAGCAGTTAAAAAGGATTTCGGAACAATCACACCCTTCGTGGCGGTTTAATACGGGATAACAATTTTATGGAAATTAATATTGAAAAATTTCTTTGGAAACTTATTTAATTGTGACACAAAATACCAATATTACCGTATTGGACTTAAAGGATCTATTAACTTATAAACCAAGAAAAACTTAACCAATAGATAGTAAACTGGCTGAATATATTTGTAAATATTTTACTGACTGTTCTCGTTATTATACTTTTATTATTATTATATTATATACATAATGTATTACTCTTATACACGTTATTATTTTGAAAGAAAACACAATGTACCCTTGTTTTATTTTCTACACTGACCGGCGTCTATGTAGATTAATTAAATAACTAGTATCCAAATCGATGGTATATGATGAAAATAAATTTACTGACTGAAATATATGCGAGTAGTAAATAAAAAACTAAGACAATTTTGTCAAGAACTCATGTTCGATTCTTTTGAAATCCCCACTGGTAACTTAATACAGAAAATTACTATCGTCTTCAAAATAATAAATGCCAAATGTCATGTCACATTGTAAGACGTGGTTTAAACACTTTTGAACATCAATCACTCGGTCATTCACAACAAAACTACACAGCTTTTAGAGAAATAGATAACATGTATATTTAAACGACAACACGCGAAACTCCGCCTTTATTCTGATTAAACGTAATTTTTCTAAATTATATAGTATTAAGTATATTAAATTATAGAATATTAATTATTATAGCCAATTTAGTTTTAATATCTAACAGCTAAACCCTACTAAGAGTACGAAAAGCTTGATGATGTTAAAAAATTCTCACAGGGTTTAGCTGTTAGATATTAAAACTAAATTAGCTATAATATTAATTACTTAGTTTGGTTAAACTATTACATAGGTACATTCAACAAGGATACTAACTAGATGTGACAATAATTTCTGACGATAAATTAATCAAAGTACATATATTTTCTGAAAAATGCGGTAAAATATTGTAACGTCATTAAAAATCACATGTCGTCGTGTGCTTTTATTGTCCTTATTTTCTGCGCTCCACAATGTGCCGCACAAATTTTTGGATTAAATGCAATTACGAGTAAAGGCTTCTGCTGCAACAGAATCGAATTTAAAATGCAGAAAATATAAAGCGATAAAGTCAAAAATTACATTTCACTCGATACTAAAATAATTTTGTGGAGTCACAGTCGAAATTTTCCTTTAGCTTTTGAAATAAAATAAAATTGTGACATACATTTTACAGAAAGTTAAGTAAGTATAGTTTAGTGTTACTAATTAAACTAGCTTAACTTTATTGCATTGTACCATTGTACTTTATATTACTATAAGATATTAAATATTGGCTTTTACTTCGTCTTATCCACTAAGGTCCGTACAGTCGTTTAGTAGTGAAACGGTAACATCAGAAAGAAACACTTTTGCATTTAGCATTAGCATGAAAATATTAATTTGTATTAAGTAATCTGGACAGTAGGGAAAAATATTAATACAAAAAATAGACCTTCATAGGCGGCTAAAATGTCCTTTTCATAGAAAATGAAAAGTTACTTTATTTTTATAAAGTAATTTTTGACATATAACACGGTCCAAAAGTTAGAAATCGAAAGATTTAACAACTTCTTACACCGCTATGACTCACTGACAGATGGACAAAGTCCAAAATCCAACATAACTTTTTTAGTTCAGAACCCTAAGAATTTAAGGATTGTACACTGTTGACTGCACAATTATTTGTGAATGCTGTCTAGCAGGTATATCGATCCGCTATCTTCAAGCCATATACCAACAATACATTAGGGTGTATAAAAACTTTCTCTGAATCGTAAATAGGGTGACTCATGGCTAGACCGTACAGCGCAAGTAATGGTCATCACACCAGTGACGGTATGATTACAACGTTACAACCATTGAAATAATGAGATATATATAAATAATAATAAGAGATTTTTTCATAACACAATTAGATTACGATAAATTAGTAGACTTTTATAACTGTTTTGACATAAAATCGTATGTAATATTATGTTATCTGTGGTATTAATAAAGATACAACAACAACAGTATCTATTATTTGTAATTTAGATCTAGTTTAATAATGAATATTGGAATTGGAAATTAAATTTCCTATTCCATATAATAAACTATTAATAATATTTCATCACATTAAATTTAAACAATAGGTGTTGATTTCGTGTAACCAATGGAATGAATCCATACATCGATATACTGAGCTGCATATTTAAGTAGGTGCCATTTACAAATATGAAATTTGTAATTTGGGTAAATCCATTTTATGTACTGCAACATATTTTTAAAACAATTGAACTTTGTCGTCATAGTATCTCATATTCTAGTTCCTTTCTATTTGCTTTTACTTTCAAGTTATTTACATATTCTATACATAAATGTGACTCCGTTAATTTTTAAATTGTAAAAATCTATTCGTATGACAAAAAGTGTACAAAAAATGCAAGATATTGCAAAAAACCTTTTAGACGTGTCCATATTAGCAAGACCCTTTAATATTCAGAAAGCGTAATCTATTCTCGTTGGTTTGTAATAAATTTATTAGTAGCGGAAGATCTAAGTATGTTGGTCGCTCAGGAATGAACCTGGGATTTTTAACGTGAAATAAGCTCAATTTATTATAAATCTAGATTTTACTCATAGTGATGGTCCTTAGGCAGTCAAATTGTTATTGCGTGTAAAGCAATTGCATATCTACTTTGAATAACTTAGTACAAACATTTCGTACCTACATAAACATAACATTTAATTTGTGTACTTTAAATCGCTATAATAATTAGAACCGTAGGTAAGATTAGATCGGCTGCTTCGCTTGTTTCTTAACGAGAAAAACATGAAACTCAGTTGTTCTAATTGCTAGTAATGAACATATTTATTATATTCTATGTATTTCATATAATATACACGACTTTCTTGTAAATTTTCCATGTATATCTAAGGACATTAACTTGATAGTAGCATATTGAATTCTATTAGGATATCATATCTCAAGGTAAATATGTATATGAAATTATGCACATACCCAAATAAATATAAACTCCAACGTTATATCACATCACAATGGAAGAATATTCGTATTTCACGGTGGAAACATGGCTTTGAATACTTCAGGTGATATCATGATTAGAGGCAGAAGCATTGTGGAGTACGACGTGAATGTACAGTTTTTAAGTCCGTTGCTTAGCAACCAAAACTAGTTCACTGTGAATTGAGTTAGCTGTATTCTTTATGTTTACTAATATTGAATAATATATTTGTTATCATCTATTAATATGAATATAAGTGATCTAGAAGAATATCCTAAAACATATCCGTAATCTTCCTAAATTCTTGTCTGAATTGTTCTTCCGAAGCATCTATAATAGTGTTATTATAATAGTAGTCTGAACACGCTTGTACACTAAAACAAATCTGTCAGTTTGTTTTTTTTTTCTACTATATAAAACTCTGTAAATTAGAGGTGACTAGGTCTCCTTCATCTAATAATATTAGTCATATGGCGGGTTTAAAGGGAGCTTCTCTCTGGGAGCACTGAAATTAGGGTTAGTGACCTTTCTGCTAAGATTTTACTTTTTTGCAAAAAATAATGGTATTTGGAGACTTCAAACAGATTTACCACCGTCGGATTTGTGCATAAGACATCCCTGGCGACTTACTATAAGCTCATTTGCCGCCATTCCATAACAAAAGTTATTGATCTCGCAGAGAGCCTATTATTTTATGTGTTTTAGACATAAAAACTAAGATTCTATACACTATAGGTACATAGAATTTCATTTAATTATTTTGTTTAATTACCTATAATTATACTTAACTAGAATTTTTTTGTCCTATGTCTCACCTTCCGAACTAAAATCTATACCTATTACTAGCAAAGCAAACTATCAATAATACTAATTGGTGAAATATAGACACCCACGCAAAGGTTTCTACATCTACGCACTACATCCACTAGTAAAAGATGCTGGCGTGATTAAAATTAAATTAATTTCAGAAGCACATCAAACAGTATCTGTATAAAAAGATTTCAATTTAGACCAATTAAAAAGAATTAATTATTTACTGAAAATATTTCAATTACTAAAAAATATTGAACTCATGAAGAGTCTGAATAAATAATAAAAATCTAATACGTAAAATATACAGAAGTAGTCGATTAATCTTGAAAAAAGTAAAGATATTCAATATCCTATTAGAAACTTAGAAGACAACAGTATAGCAATTTCCACGGCTGATTAAAAGCTAACATTCGACTAAATATACATCGATTCTACATATTAAACGATAGTG